ACATATTTCTACCCAATTTCCAGCTCATTCACTCTGACTTGGTGACTTTTACAATTGAAGTGTCTAAGTAATGCCAAAGTCATCTAGAAATAAATCTTTCTGAGTTTTTCATTCTATCACAGCCAACTCCTGTACCGACTATGGAAGTTCGAAGACAAAGAACAACTGTAACCTCTAACAGTGTGGATTTGTTCTACATTTCTGTGATTGGAGGGGATTAGGAATACCCAAAAAAGGAATTAAAAGATACCTAGGGCCGATATTGTAAGCTTAAAGTCAAAGTAGATAAGCATATACTTGTTTGATCAACAATGTGAATTGATAAGCTGTAAAATGTCTGTGTAAAGTCAGGCGTGAAATTGGTAAAAGGGTCACCTCGCTACCCTTTGGATGGCACCGCCCTCTGTCACCGTTAACCATTCCCATGTCTGGATAAATGAAGGTAAAAAGGTTAAGTGGTAGACTTGGCCCCATCACCAACTGATGCGACTGACTTCACCCTTCAATACTCGCCTTTCTAGCCTCGCAAACAATGACATACGGTTGAGATGTGAAGCCGCCTGTGGTAAACTAACTCCACCTGCTGTGTGATATGAAGCAGCGTAAGACACTTTAAGAAGTTGTAGCTCTCACTTTTGCTCCTCCTATTTTATCTCCAGTGGCCAAAATGCAGATTTTAAATTTAAACTTCTTAATGTATTTCGTCTCCATTCGTGGATTCCATGTGAGACAAGTCCAGGGCAATATTCTTTAAGTCTTACGTATTAAAATATAGTGTCTTATTGAGATGGGGGACAATAAAATCGACTGATTTGTTGAAACCATTCTGAGTCACCGACCTGAAAATTGCACCTTCTGGCCATTATGACGATGCTAGTGCCTCCAGGAATTTTCAACTTCAATTGTTGCTAAAAAATTTTGAGGCAGTGCACTAGGCAAGACGAGAAAATACTGTGCTCTCTCCAGTAAGTAATAATAAAAATGCGTAACAGAGATGCATTTTGAGTACTAAAATTTGATTGACACAGCAACAGCCAACTCAAAACGTGAGCTGGAGAGAGTGCAAGGGATGTGATAAGCGCAGCATGGCTGAGAGAAACACAAAAACGCGTCGTAGTCATCATTCAAAAGTGATTGGTTGTTCAAGGTCAGGGCTATTATAATAGAGGAGTAATTTTCCACAATGAAAGTCCATTCTCTCTTTAACCAAATACTTATAATAATGTAGTATGCCTAATTTACGCAAGTTTGGGCAGAGTTATGAATCATAAAAGATATTATTTACCTAAAATTAGACAGGTGAATTGAAGTGATCTTGAGCGATTAGACTGTGACGCAGCTTAATGCTTCCAGGTAATGTGAAAGTATGTGTGGCTTTCCTTAATACCATGCCGATAACACAATGGGGCACTCAAGCATTGATCTCAGCGCGAAATTTACATGTGCTTATTTAAACTTTTTATGCGTTCTCCATCTACTTCGCATTTGCCGTTTAAAGAACTAACAGCCACGTTGATCACCCCCTTGATAGATGGCTAAAAATCAGAAGGATTGGAGATTTATCAAGCGATTCGACCTGCCTTGCCAATACGCACGAATCGGCATGTCACCCTTCCGTCCTTTAACGAATTCACGCTTAACTAAAGCTATTTGAATGTTTGTTTGCGTGTGGGTGTTAGAGAGCGTAGTTTATATTAATTGTTTAAACTGTGATTTTTAGGGGAGAGGCGGAAAGTCAATGAGATGTCTGTGCCTGCGAGTGCGAAATGCTGTCCCTTGAACTACTGAGTTCCCTGCTAATCCCTTTGCCCTTGAAGATGCACAATGAATACTCTCAGAGCAACCCTTAGTCTATGAAGACTGTGACTAAGGACTTCAAGAGTGGAGTAGGAGAGGCTTTTGTGTGAAATTTGTAACATATTTATTCAGTAATTTATTGCAGCTGAACCTAGTTAATATAAACCACGCGATCGGACAGTGATCTACAATCCAGTAATGGGAAAATTTGGAATAGTGGAATTCCTGTAGCATGAGTCAAAATTTAGCACGAGAATTTGCAGGAACCGCCTGCCTACCCTCGTGTCCTTGAACCACGGACTTCAAGAGGGGGTTAGTTGCAGTAGGCTTACTAGGCATTGATTACAGAAAGAATGGGGATATGAGTAAAGATGAGCCGAATAGCTGATATCACCCAAAGACGGATTTCTCACGGTCCTCACGCACGAGATTCAAGTTCCAATTCGGTTCTAGCCTCGCTCCTATAAAGGTCAACTTAAACGATCTAGTATATATTACAGAAGTTTGTGAAGGATTAGTTGATGGTAAATAGGTGACGGAAAGTTTTCATGCGTATTCTAACTAATTTGCAAATATCTTATAAACGAAGCGTCAATTGTACCCACATAGTTTTGACGCCTTAATTTTGACATGACTAAGGCGATGTAATGAAGCCTGCTAAAGTGGTTTGCTATGAACCTATAAATTAACCCAATTTTCACAAAATAACAAGAACCCGGGTTCACTTCTTTAAGGAATAACAAACTGTGTCAACGTTGGCGTATGCTAAGTTGCATACTTAATCAAATAATAAAATCAAGTTTTACATCAATTTGCTTGCAAAATTTTAGTTTGCTGCGATTTAAAAGTGGAATTGTTTCCAGCCCTGATTTCTTATTTTAAACCACTTAGTCATTGGAATGAGTTGATAATTTGGTGCGCCTCTTTGAAAGAGCAGAAGTAATTGGGATCCCACGGAAATTGGTGCTAAGGCTCGCTGCATAGGCGTTAAAACTTGTAAATTTAAGCCCTTTGAGGTGTCTCAAAAAGCGGGATCATTAATTACAAAACTTCCACCTCTGTCATTGGCTTTGGATGGCGTTAATGAAAATGCTCTTTTTGACAACTTCAGCAATGTCTACTCACAAAATATTTTGTGACTAGCCTCCCAGAAAGAATGGAAGAAAATGCAGTACGTCATTCCGAGTGCGCTGTCTGTAGGGCGAATTGGAGGAAGTGAACTTGTGCTGAAAGAGAAGCAGACCATTCGCAGATATCAAAGAGTGGATAGAACGAATGGAGGTTGACAGGGCGTGATTATGTGAAGATTTATGCCACGCTTGTGGCCTCGAAGCTCGTTATCACACCACCGACTCCCTAAGGCATCATTTGGCGCCTAGAAGCCAAGGCCAAGTGTAATGGAAGCGTCGTTTCATGTCTAAACAACAAACTCATTTGAGTGGGTGGTTTGCTATAAAGATGACAATTTGTTTTCGTCTGACCCGTGAAAGAAGCCGATGTAGATTACGATCATCGAATTTCTGCAGCAGAGTGCAACAGGTTTTGATCTTAGTTAGACTTTGCATGATGGTGAAGTGAGACCTTGTCACTGAGGGTAATGCATCATAGCCTAAGAGGTGTTTGTTTCCTTATAGGTAAAGTAAACCAAATAGAATCGCATTTATTGGGATCCAAACTTAATATTGTGTAAAGGTGCTTCAGACAAGCACATCAAGCATAGAAATTGGTGGTGGTTACTAAGGTACACTCAACGGTTTTGTATTCCATTAAAATTGTAATTTTGTGCGCATAACAAAACCAAAGGTGAACAGTAAATGACCTGTTGAAGAGCGAAGGTTTTAAAGCACATTTTTAAACAATTATTAATATGACTGGTTGGACAGTTATAAGCAAATATCCTCCTACGCTCCATCAAGTTTGCATAAGAAGCAGCATTACCAGAACTTACGAAAAATGTCACATATGATCAAACGTTGATTTGAATATCCATAAGTTCATACTAGGCATCATCAAGTTGTTCGCAACCACCTCCACTTAATAGACTAAATTATCTACCTCAGGAATTAGCCCACAGTCATCGTACGCTCTAGCCAAACGCCCATTGTCAAGGTCGAATTCCTACTGGAGTTTTGCCCCCGTCAGCGCCTCCATGTCACCCCTTGCAACGCATGAATTTTGTAGAGGCATTGAGGAGTTTGAGGCATTACATGAAATTGTTACGTGCCAGCGTTTGTTGGGGAGTAAGCGCAGAACTTTCAGTGGGCCGAGGTGAAGCACTCGATTAACTCTTTTCCTCCTAAGCAGTGACGCTTCACAGTCCTCATTGAAGCCTGCTCTTCATGCAGTTTCTACGCGGATGAATGCAGGTACAGAGTAATGTCAATGGTTGGCTAGTCGACTGCTGCACAACACATTGTAGAAACATAAGTGGAGAGTACTTGTTCCTATCGCAACCAACTTCACTGCATGCAGCGATGCCAGTCTCGTCTTCTCGTGCACGTCTAGGGCAGTCACCCCTACCTGTTGATGGCTTTAAGTCGACAGACGACTTGCCAGAACTGAGCTCGTGAAAAGGAGTTGAAGGGGAACGAAAGTGGGGAGTTTAAACCATGCGGTGATCGAGCAAACCAATAAACGAAGAACAATTAGTGGGTCTCAAAGGCGACCATGTGGCACACTTCCCACCATCGAAGAAGTATCATCAACTGTGGATTTCCAACTTAGAATGCTACATGACTAAGTGGAGGCCGTGAGCACTTGAGGCATGCATAAATTTGTGCCTTCCCTCGAATCAGTCACGCCATCAAAGCCATTTTACTTATCATTTAAACCGGGGTTGATGCGGTTCAATCCAAACGTATTTTGCCGAACTGGAATGCCACTGTACTCTAAAAGTCACACGGCTGCAAGATGTTCGACACCACCTTCACTTATTCGGCAAAATTTTCTGACTCAAGAAAAGCCCACAGTCATCGTACGTTCTCGAACGTTCCCCATTTTCAAGGTCAACTTCCTATTGGCTGAGCGGGCTGACGTCATCATATACCACGTGAGCAACACTTTCCTCCTCCTCCTCCTCCTCCTCCTCCATCTCGTCCATACATTCTAACCATCTCTCCCCATACTCTGAGCAGAAGTACTCTCACCTGACCGACAAACAGTAATGCATACATGCTTTTCGGTTCACCCCGACCTCACACCCTATGCCCCAGGGAACACTTGGGTTCGGTGATGAAATCGCAGCATTGCTTCCCTTCGTGATCCACTGCCCTGTAAGCCGATCGCCTTGGTACCTCCACAACACGATACCTTCAGAGGCGAGCAGTCTACGCTCCACTCACACTCTCCGACAGAATCGACACTTTTCAGTGCTTCATCCTTACTTCAGACCATTTCACTCTCTCCTCCTCCTTATTCAAAAGAACCCTTTTCACTACCAGCTACAGGGTCTCTACCCTCCTCTTCTTCCTCCTCCTCCTGCATCCCTCGCCTCTCCCAACCATCATTGCAACACTGCTGGTCTTGAAGTCCTCCGCACACAAGCACATCGCAATGCCGCTAACTTCAAATTGTCGTCTCCAACACCCTCCCAACCATCTTCACACAATGTTGCACATCCGCGTTGCCAACCTAGTCGCCATTTGGATTGGTGAGGTCTGAGTCAGCCCACAAAGGTGACGTCATCCCCTCCCCAATCACATCCCAAAAGCCGCCTTCTCCTCCACAAACCGTTGCACCCTAGACCCTCATCAACGTCTCGCAGCGTTTGTAGGCGATCTGGAAGAAGGTCACAGACAGTCGGAGTCGACAGAGTGGAGCAGATGTGGACTTCTGCAGTACGCTGCAGCCTCAGACCTACGCACCTGCCCGTTCAAGTACCACGCGTTATGCACTATTTTTTGTGCCTCTGTCTCCGTGCTAGCGATTCTGCTGCATTGAGCATCCACCCTTCCTCCTCCTCTTCCTAGTCACTGCAATGAAGCGGTCTTCATCATGACCTTGGGCGATGTACGTAAAATCCTAATTTGGTGTGCCAGCCTGGACTCTCCAACCTTCTGCCTGATGACTGCGATTCCGTGCCCAAACAATGCCTCATCAAAGACCTTCACACTCCGACACAGTTGGTCAGCCCCGACGTGAGACAGCCACCGACGTAAGAAATGCCTCTTCACACACGCCAACAGCACGCAGATCGTAATGCGCACAAGGCAAGTGGATCCACCGAATACCATCGCAGTACGCCAAGCGACCTTCCCACTCTCATGAAACACAGACCTGCACTTCGACACCTCTTCTCTCGGTAGTTTCGAGTACCCGTTGCTCCCCTGTGCGACTACCTCTGTGCACCCACCTTAACCCCACTCAAATAGGCTATCACATCGGTATTATCGCCCTCCACTCCGCCTTACACATCTGCATCTCTCTTCGTGCCCTCAGAGCACACCTGCGTGCCTCGAACGGCAAGTCAAAACGAAGAGCGCACAACCAAACGCGTGCATTTGCATTTGAAGCACGCCGTGAGAAGGTGTAACAACCAAATGCCTTCCAAATGCTTGACACTTGTGCGCAATCCAACGTGGGTGTAGTACAAACCGGTGACAACCCATATTTTACACATCATTTGAAGTTTGTCGATAACCGGACCGCCATCTGAGCCAAATGTCACTCACACTTTGTTGCATTGGCAATAACAACAGCCACTACTTCTCTGATGGTACAACATTTGTGCCTCCTGTCAACGCTCTAGACGGATTCACCGAATGCTCACATGGTTCAAGGAAGTGAAATCCATATTGTGCCACTTGTAGAGCTAACGCAGTAGAATAATGTGTCGGATGTTTGAGAAGCGTAGTAGCAAATCACACTTTGTGTTCCAAAACTGTGAAGCGTTCCGTCCCACTTGACGAGAGGCATCACAGGTGCCGCGAGAAAAGGTGGACAGTAGATTGGAAGACTCAAGCACAATTGGTTGGTAATGACCTATGCCACCTCATGCCACCCTCGATCAGTTGGGTTTACCAAGGTGTTGACACTGTGACGTCTCAACCAATACCGTAGAAGACGCGCTACTTAATTGCATCAGTAGCTTGACTTTCGTTCCAACCTTGATTCTTTTACGGATCGCTAGAATGAAGCCACACCATGATGTCCTTCATGTGCCATAATTTTAGAAAAACACGAAACTTTTGAAAACATCGCATAGGCGCTAACCACTGCTAGTGAACCTCATCCATCTTCAAAAAAAAAAGGAACCCTACTTCGAAGCCACAGCGACATTGCAATCCCGTCGAATAATTTCACACGAATCAAGGAAGGTGCGACGTTCCTTGACTTAGGACCACTTAGGTTAAGTTATTTGATGTTTTTAATCCGAGCACCAAATCAAGGATTCGATACGTAGTAACAATACTAGCAGGCAGTGGTAACTACGGCGAAATCAAAAGAAATTTCACTCTTTGGCCAAAATTTGTGCACAAGTAGAGTGAGTGCTGTAATGCTGCCCATTTTGAAGCCACAAGCCCAACAGCATCCCCTCACTGCTAGTACCTCATTTAAAGGCTCCATCCAAAGGGAGTGGCAAATAAATCTCTTATAAGGGCTACCAAAGAGACTTCAAATGTCCTTTATGGTTTGTAATGATTTACTCCCCTTACCTCTCCTCTCTCAAGCACGTACACTGCTACTCGTGGCTGTTAAAGCTCAATAAGTACAACCTGCACTCGTGCTATCGCTAAGCTACTCCCACATGTTTTCTACTAACATTTAACCAACTCTCCACCTTCTTCCGAGTTCATACACCTAACACCATCCCCTGAGACGCTATTATTCCTAACCATCAAAGTCTCATGAGTATCGTTGCATTTGAGCGAGAGGGCAAAAGACCAGCAAAAAATATTTCAGGATGCAATATATTAGATCATTCAGTCAGTCAATCATGGCTATTGGGATATAGTTCACACCTACGCTGATGTGCGTATTTGTTAGTGGTGCCGGGAGACAGGAAGAAGGAACACAGGGTGAAGTAGAACTGCCATGGTTGATGTCTTGAGGAGGGCAGGAGGAGACGCGGGGAAGAGAACAAGTGAATGTGTAAATGTAGTCTATACAGTGGTGAGCGAAACCAGGCCTCCGCTGCTAGCAGGCGGTTGTTGTTGCTGCTGCTGTTGCGACTGCTGCGTAGGTGTGCCCCGATGTCGGTGCCCGCTAGAGCCGCGTGGCGCTCGGCTACCCACCCGCCCCGTAGGATTGGAACTCGTGCACCCCTCTTGCTGCCGTCTGCGCTCGCAACCACTGCCTTTGCTATGCTGCCGGTTGCTTACTGTAATAGCACCTTTGCTTCGCATCTCTCCACCACCTCCGTCGTCGTCTGTTGTGCCACCTACTCGTTCCTCCGCATGGCGATGACCACCACGCTCCTTGGTAAGGCGATTTCTTCAGGAAACAAAAACAGTTCCTACTCAGTGATCACTATGTGAGGAGGTCTCGCTTGGCTAAGATGTATTTTATGTGTACTTGGTAGGGATCTTTCAGGCTAGGACGACATTTACAAAGTTTTCTTTGGTAGACTACTTCAAGTGACTCCTATGAGAAAGAGCAGTCTGATGCATAGTCACATTTTCTTATTATGAGATTTTATCTCATGATAAAGTTGAAGAGATTGAATTGATTCAGTACAGAAGAAATGCAAAAGCCCGGTAAAAGCATAACGATGAAGCGTAAGGAAAGTAGCATGTATAACGACGGGTACGGTGCATGAATGGAATAGTCTAACTGTCAGGAAGATTAAATTAAGAGTGTTAAATTTTATCTTCTCCTCCTGCATCATTAGTCGGACTACATCGATGGCATCTTAATTTATCATCTTCACGAAGCAGGAGGAACGTCTTCATGAAAACATCGCCCCTGTTACTCGCTGAGCGGACCTTTTGAAGGCTGTTTTGTGTTTCCAAAAACCCCAAACAAGAACACATTAGAAGTAAAGAGATGATTATTAAAATCGAGAGATGCACAAGGCACAAAATCTAGTAAAGCTTTTGGACTCCAAGACTAGAAAGATCGTACTAGCAACATAAAATTGGGCTTTTTCGAAGGAGCTCGAAACTGATATTTATGTATTTTACTTGCAAATGTGAATAGTTATTTCGAAATAAGGTGACTAGCCAAGCAATCATGACTGTTCAAACACTCATAGAATGATAAGAGCATTCAAAAGGTCTTAATTAAGGAACATTCAGGTGGTGACAATAAAGATGCAAATAGTGACGACTACTATTATTCAGAGGTGAACGAAGGGGTATAAAACCTGTGTCACCGTCTATAACGCTGCTGGAGCGTTGAAGCGATGGGAATGAGCATACATCAGGGGGACAACTTTGGATGTGCTGTCGAAAAGTATCTGCTCATGAATGCATTCGCGTTTCTCACCACACGACAAATTATGCTACCTGCACATATATTCAGAAATGATGTTTTTCAATTGAAATATTTTCTCCCATGGTTAAAAAGGGCGCAATTTTTGAATATTATGTCACTTTCATGTAGCAAGCAAACCATGCAGCTCATGTTCCCGCCCGTTGTTTTATTGGATAAATGACTTAATCTTCGTTGTTGTCTGATCATTTAAACTGCAGGTTAACGAGTGATAACCTAGTGTGCGCAGGCGTTAGTCGTTATACATAATTCCTTCTGAGCTTGTGAGGTTTCCTCAATATCCTCGTATAGAACATTTAAGTTATTGCATTACATGTTTCCTCGAAGTGAAAAAATCGGTATGTTGGTTTTGTATGTTGTTACTCACCCGCTTATTCGCTATTATCACTGACCACCATGGAATAAACCAAGCAGTCCGGGAAACGAGACTGGCGCAGTTTGTCGTTGGACGGTTATCGTTACAGCCTGAAACTGTAGTGTTCAGTACGAGCTTACTCACTGCCATTGTAGGTTAAGGACCCACATAGAAGGAGGTTAGGTGACTGTAACTTTCATGACCAGGGGAGGATTTATGCGATGCGAAGGTGGTGTGCGGACAGACATTAGAGAGAACGTGTTTCTTAAGCGGTTGACTGGACCACGATCTTGCATTTTATGATTATTATACACGCGTTTCTCTTACTTCGCCTTTGGTGCGCTATAAATCATCTGGCAGGAAGTCTCAGATCGACATAGAATGGGCTCCTTTTTAATGAATGGTGAGATGAATGTTAGGAATTCGTTCATTTGTGCATGCGTGTTTGTGCACACCTCTACCGCGAAATCGATCCACAAGGCGTCGTTTGTTACCGCTTCCATGCATTTCAACATCAAGAAACGTGGTAGAGCCAGTCGTTTATGAAAGCCCTTCACTTTATCCCTAAAAGCTATCCAATTGGGTTTTTAGCAGAATGGTCCAATATAGTGTATCTCGCTGTGAAGATGGAAAGAATGGCTAGAGCATATAGTGGAATGAAAAAAACGGTATGTGACAATAAAAGATGTTTTAGTTGAATAACTATAAGAGGCGTTGACTTGAATAATCAAAATTAACTTTCGCATTTAATGTTGAAATGTCTGGCGAACGAAATTCACTGGTATTTTACGATTAAAAATGCTACAGTTGTTGCCTTTTGCTTAACTGGTCAGACAATGTTAACGCTGCAGTCACGGATCAGTGGTGATTTTGGAAACAAAGAAAGGCAAAAGCACTCTTATAGGGTAGCATTAAATAGTCAAACGCTGAACCATGGTTCAGGGCTTAAATGCACCAAATGAGCTCCTAAGCCTTAATTAGTCCGTCACCATAGGACAGACATTTTGTTTTGAGAGCAACAGAAAAATACACTTCATAAGTTAGAGCGACACCATTGAATTCATCTTTGTTTACTGTAAACGCTAAAAGTATAGTAACACTGTTAAGACGGTTGTGTTGATTGACTTACCTCCGACAGCTGTTTGGCAGAATTATGAACGAGTTTGGCCAAGCCAAATTGTTATTATTACAACAATGTTTATGAAGGCTAATGGTCGGATTAACGTATACTCATGAGAGAATCAAACGCTATGATGGCTCAAACAATTGAGGGTGGGGAGAGCAGTGCTTGGCCTTCAGAAAAATACCAGTGCTGTGGAGCGATACGCTCTGGGGGTACCAACTTTCCGAACAATAGTATGCCTTCGAAGAAGCTTTTAGCTGCATATGAGTGAAGCATTAATGAATGCGTAGCATGATTTAGTAACAAATGGAGTCCTTCTCAGGGATCTGAAGCCAAATACACCCTAGAGGTGGACTGAGAGCTTGGCTACTGCACTTTTAGATAAGTAGTAATTGAACGTTTGGGCACAGATTGGCCGCACTTACCTAACTGGCCGACGAGTGATGTATCTCGTGCCGTCGGTGCGTTTTTTTACCACCCACTCCATCAGTGGTCGATTCTGTGCCTGCGCTTGAGCCTGTGTCTCTCCAAGGCCGGCATAGCGGTTGGCATGGCTACAACCATCATCATTGCCATAGGTGGTGTTGATGACGCCATAGGATGTGAAACAGACACCACTGTTGTCATTACCGCTGCTGGCATCATTTGGCATTTTGGAGGCGCTTGCCACATCCACAGCAGCGTAGGGTGTCTCGTAGATGTTGGAAGAGGTTGTATCGTCCTTAAATTCGAATCAAAATTCTCAAATCCTCGTCACTATCAAGGCGTTTCAGGTACAAAATCTCCGTTTCAACAGCTTTGTAGAGCAACAATTTGACAGAGTAAAAGAAGAATACAGACAAAGTATAGTAAATATCCTTGGCATCCGAGACGCTTGTCTCGGAAAATGAGTTATGAGTCTGTGAAAAGCAAAATTTGTCTCATCAATAAGGAGCAGGGGAGCAAAAGAAATTGATGTTTGTTAAAAAACTGGAGGCATTTATCAATGAATCAGTCTCGTCAAAAAATGGACTGGCTTTGGATGACTACGCACGCTGTCTTTCAGGTGGACAAATGCGCTTGAATGAAGGCCACACTACTAACTGCAAATTTCAATTTATCAGGCAGCTTTCTGTCACAAGAATGCGTTTTTCTAAGTGCTTAAGTTTAGTTGTATTCTGGACTGTTACGCCTTGCAGTAAAAGTAGTTATTTTCAAATTAACCGATCGGTGAGTAGGTAGCAGATGGAGAGGACTTTGACTTCCGTTTCAACCATTCATCTCAACCTCACGGCAGCTTGCCATTCCCACTTCAGGGAATTTCATAGACCTCTGCCTTAAAAGACGAGAAAGAAGCTTCAGTTAGTATCAAAACTGTTACATAAGATGTTCAGCCCTTTGTTTTACTTTCAGTTTATTTGAGAAATATGGCCCTGGAACATACTAGTAACTCCCTCCAATACACCTCCACATCGGAAGCACACATCCTCCTCGGCTTCTTGGCCTTCTTGGAATGTTTCAGGCTTCGCATCTGTGAAGACGGACAGCGAATCCGATCCTAAAGGGCACCTACCGTGAGTTCTATTTCGGAATGATGTGGTCGAAAAAAGTCTATGACGATACCAAAAGAAAGGGATGACAATGACATCGGATGGTATCGGCCGTTTAACCGACACCAGTTGTCAACCGTCTAGAGATCTGCATTACGAGATTGTTTACAGCACTTGTGTAAAGATGTCAATCAAGTAAATACATCAAACATTTTTCCTCTTTCTCCTCCTCCTCTCCCTCTTCACACAAGCTGGAATGAAACATCAAATAGGAGAAAACAAAGTGTCAGAGGAGGGACTAGAGGAGAGGTGTTACCCCCATTAAATTAATTTAATTTCCTTATGTCTCGTCATGCATGTTTGAAATGATCAGTGCAATCACCCTATCCCAACACGACTTCTGAACGGGAAGAAACTCCACACGCAGTGCATTTGGAAGAGGTTATCAGTGAGAGGGTGGTTGGTTCTTGGGTGCATCGCCTTACACCGCTAGGCACGTTGTGATGGCCGGGCGGTGAGTGAACCGAATGGAGCCAAAACGATCAAGGAGGAGAAGAAGGCTGTGAAACTCTTTGTTTTGGATTTGACATCAATTAGATTCCTCCTTTTACACACTGCCGTAAGGTGAACTTGTCACTACTGAAAGTTAGCAACCCTCAAGATCCAAAGGGCTGTACTGATGGTGCTTGGGATGTCAACTGCTAGAAGTTGCCTCCTCTCACAATTCTTGAGCAAAAATGCAACGCTTCTTATCAGTACTTCAGCATCACCACTGTCGAAGTGTGGACACTTTTATAGGAAAACAGTGCAACAAGATGTGAAGGAAGAAGAAGACAAATTCGTCCAACCACAACCACTAAGTACGCAGTTTTCTTTGTCCTGGTAAGTGGACAACCGGCTGGCGGAAGGATGGAATGAAATAGCACACAAGCAAGAGCTAACAAAATCGGAGGAGGGAAGTGCATAATTTACAGAAGACCACTGCCAGTTTACGTTTTAGAGGCTAAATACTTTTTCTAGGGAAAGTGGTATTGGCAGAGACGAGTCAAACCGCCACTCTGCGAAGGAGAACACAAGCCTAACATAGCCGTTGAAAGGAATGCATACATTTCGGTAAGAGGTCTAAAGCCCAGAAGGGAACCCTGTGGTCCTGCTTGGTGATTTGTGTCGATTTATCAAGAAATGCGAATGAGAATTTCAGCGGAAGGTTGACTGACAGGATGTTACGCCTAACAAAACAATAGGCTTTATATCAAAATGATATTTGAGTGTGTGGTTTCGTGAGCTCTTCGTAAACGCCTCCTTACCGTACCACTACAATTCTATTTTCGGTGTTATCTTCCACTTCTGCCAGCTATTCTGTGCTGTGCGGTTCCGACCTCGACACTCACCTTGCAGGTGTCTCCACCCGCACTGGGTTTCCCCGAGTACATCCAAGCCTGTGAACAAGGCGGTGCAGAATACCGTATGTTTGGCATCATCCTGGCAGCCAAAGCAGGTGAGGGTGGCAGTAGAAAAGGAGGCGGTGGAGGCAAAGGTGGAGGTGGAGGCGGTTGGAGGCCATTTTTAAAGTACCTATCGTAGAATTCGTAGGGATGGTGGTGGAGAAAGGCATGAGGGAGAAATGAGCTTGGATTTATGTAAGCAGGGTTGGCAGCCAAACCCTCGTAAGAAACACCCATTCCTCGCTGTACATGCGAAGCGGAGGTGTTGGGAGTGTTGGGTGCAGCAGCTACGGAAGAGGAGGCGACGGAGGTAGAAGAGACACAGGAGAGTTTGCTACCGCTCAAGCTGCCTCCAGTCGACGGTTGGATGGGCGGTTTGCTACCGGTAATGTCCCCGAGACTCGTGCTGCTTTCTACAAGAGGATTTGTAGAAATCACAATTTCATAATTGCTTTTGCACTACAAGTTTAGCGAAACACTTGTATCAACTACAATGGGTGCACCCATCTCATTCACTACCCTGTTCTTATTCTGCCACCACTGACCTCAAATGGCAGCTGACAGGCTGAAGCTCGGATGTTGATCAGTTGCAAATCCCGGCACGTTTAACGACATTGCCCCATCTTCTGTACAATCGTCGTACTCTCTCGAGTACCCTTTCTCCGCCCCTCCCCCTTTGAGGACTGCCAACTGTATAGTAGGCAAATACTCTACCCACGTCTGCCAAGGGTTGAAACAAGGATTGCTTGCAATGAGCTGTCTGGAAGACAAAGTCGCTAAAACAGCTCCAGCTCTTGCAACAGTTAAAGCTTTTTAAAAAGAGTTTTGTCTAGACTACTCGTGACACACTCACACAGACTTGAGTTAATGGGCGTTACCTGTTTGCTGCTAACATTACCCAAAATGGGAAAGAATTTTTCCCCCAAACACCATTTTTTACCCTTGCAGTTTCGATTTCCCATGCATTGAAATTTGCTACTCGCATAATAGCAACACCAGAGGTAAGTTAGGTTGAAAGCGTCTCGATGAATTCATTTAACATCAAAACATAGACTTCAGTAATATTAGAGCTTCTATTATCTCAAGAGGAAGAAGGAACCAGAAGTCGCATTGGTCTGATCCACTTGAACTTAAATTCCACGAAATCTGCCCCAGAACACAAAGTGTGTTTGGTGGCCATAACATTTTGGCCAAATTATCCACTTGCGAGTAAAATGGACTTGGCGTGGCAGAAGGTCGGGCTCGATGGCACCAAGTGACATGTAAGTGCCCACAATCACACATTCACTTTGATAAGAGGTGTGAAATAGCGTCAATTTCAGAGTCAGTCTGCTTATTACGTCGCGAAGAAGGACCATTCCATAAAGTCCAGGCGAACCTCGAGCCATGCATACGTGCAAGAACGGTGACTGTTTGAAGGGCGAATTGTCGATTTCACTCACATTGTCTAAGCGTGATGGTTTGGAGCATCCCATGGTTATTGCCTCCTCCAGCCCCACTTCAAAGGG